CATGAGAACAATAACAGCACCTAAGGACTGTTAGGAGGATTAAATTAGTTAAAATAGGGCCGGCCCCCGTGGCATACTCGGGAGAGTGCAGCGCTTGCGAGCGCAGCGGCGCTCCCGCAGCGGGTTCGGATCCTATATAAGGATGGCCGGTACGCTCACTGGCTGAGTGCAGTGCGGGCGACACCAAGCCAAGGGTTGCGATCCCCTTACCGGTCACAAAAAAAAAAAAAAAAAAAAAAAATTAGTTAAAATACATGAAGAGCTTAGAACTGTGCCTGCGACATAGTAACTACAATACAAGTAACAGAGGAGAAAAGTTAAATGTCAAAGGCCTTCTAGAAAGAAGGAGAAAGAGAGCTACAGATCGCACCACCAAGAAAAAAATACCTGTAGGCTTAATCTCAAGTGTATACTTCACTGGTGACAGTGCAACACTTCTGAATGCTCCAGAATTGAGAGGTAAAGAGAAGCCGCTTGGATGCTGAAGGGAATCACTGTATTCCGAGAGTAGCCACAGTATTCCTGACTGCTGGAAACTTCACCATCACACCGTGTCACAATGACCTGTTCTCAGGTAGGTTTACTTGCTGAGTTAAGAGCCATTCTCTCCACCAGGAATGACACCCTCTGTCCCCAAAACTTCATTCTCCAAGGTACAGACAATGCCAGTTCTCTGAGGCAACTTCCCATCATCCTGTCCAGAAGTATCATCTCCTCCCCAAACTATCTTAACACCTCCTGCCACACAGGGACCTACCTGTTGGATACGTGTCCATCCCTTCTCCTTATATGTCTCCATTTGCCTCCCAAAGCCATGCACAGTGCTTTGCATACGGTTCTATACTTGATAACATTTGCTAAATGAATGACTTCCCACGGAACCTACCTTTCCATTTTCCATTTGTTCCATTTGATTCCTTTTGTTCAAATTATCCTAAATAATTGAATTACATTATATCACCAACATCACATAACGAAAAAGTAAACAGTCCAATGGAAGCCTTGTTTTGTCCCTACATGTTAATTTTCAAATTAATATTTTACTCATGAAAATTTTTAGTTAGAAATTCTTTGTTTTTAGCTTTATGAGCATGCTTCTGCTCTTGTGATTAACTATTTAGGGAAAGATAACTTGCTGAGGAAAAAAATTAAATTTTATGAGACCACTAAAAACCTAATACTCTAAAATTTAACTGAAGGTATGATGGCAACTTTCGAGATGAAACTTAAAAACTGCTTTAAAGTTTCCCGGATTTACCTTCCACATCAGTTCATTTTCAAATCTCTTAGTGAAGCCAAGTGGAACATAACACAGGATAAAGAAAAAAAAAGAATGGATATTTTTATTTAATGAAAGCATGTTACGAAATTTTCAAAGGCAAAAAGCATTGCAAGGAGCAAAGAAAATTCTCATTCCTCCTTCCAAGCTTATTTATTTTCTAGCAAAATATATTGTTTCAACTCTCAGGTTTAAGGGAAATAATATTTGATATAAGAACTTTTCATGGAAAGTCATTAAGCTGTCATGTTCAACCCAAATGTTCAGACCATGCTCCTTATCAAAGAGCACCAGAAAAAGAACTGACACAAGATCCCCCGGCAAGCAGGAACCATGTGCTTTGCTGAAATGGTTGAACTGAGAGATCAAAGGAGTTTTAATAGAACACCAAAGCTAAACTCAAACGATCCTGCAGCTAAAACGGAATCTCAGCATGTCAAAGCAGAAAGGAAGCATCCGCATGAACAGATCTTCTATTTAGCACTCACATGATGCCACCTAGGAGCCAGGCACTGTGCTAGGCACTGTGTAAGTGTTTACTCCTTGAATCCTCACAGCAAACTATCACCCCCATTTTACAGATGGGGAAACTGAGGCACAGAGAGGTTAAGAATGTATGTCCAGGTAGCAGGCACCAGAGTCCACAACAATGCATGTAACCATTCTACTGTATGGCCATGCAGAACTACTCTTTTCCTGATACAGATGATGCAGTCATGGTCCAGACATGTTATCTAACTTGCCAGCAGTTAGCAGCAATGAATGATGATGTGGATTTCATAGGGGACTGGATCCCATCTTTTTTAAAAAGTTCTTTTAAAAAAAAAAAAGTTCACACACACACACAAAAAATATATATATATATGGCATCTAAAAAATAAAACATACATAGCCTCAGCAATTTTTTAAAGCATAAAAAAAAAAAAGTTCACACACACACACACAAAATATATATATATATATGGCATCTAAAAAATAAAACATACATAGCCTCAGCAATTTTTTAAAGCATCTAAGAACATCCACTCTATTTTGTAAATAGTCAGTAGAGTAGATAAATGGCAATTAAAAAAGGAAATGATGATATTCCAAAGAAAGCTGTGGTAATGGCTCTGGGCTGAGCCATGGAGAATGGATAGTGCAAACGCTCTTGTGACATGCATGCAGCCTCATCCTTGCCTTTGTGGAACACTTGCAGCTTGTCATTATCATTTAGGTCTGTCTCTCTAACTAGACTATGTGTTTCATGAGGACAGGAGCCATGTCTACTCTATTCACTGGAATTCACCCACATGCCTAGAACACAGTGGCACTCAATGAGTATTTCTTGAAGGAATGAATAAGAATAGATATTGCTGTGGTTTGAATGCCCTCCCCATCCCCAAGCTCATATTGAAACTTAACCCCCACTATGGTGGTGGAAGGTGGGGTGTTTAAGAGGTGATTGGATCATGAGGACTGTGCCCTTGTGAATGGATTGATCCATTTATGGAGTAATGGGTTGTCATGGGTGTAGACTAGTGGCTTTAGGAAAGCATATAAAAGAGCTCTTGCTATTCCAGCCAGGTGACACCCTGTGTCACCACAGGACTCTGTAGGTAGTCCCCACCGAGAAGAAGGCTTTCATCAAATGTGTTCCCTGAACCTTGGACTTCCCAGCTTCCATAACTGTAAAAAATAAATTTCATTTTCTTATAATACCCAGTTTCAGGTATTCTGTTCTAAGCAGCAAAAAACAGATTAATACAGATATTAATATAGACGATACACAGAAATAGATATAGATGATATAGAGACATAGACATAGATCTGGATGATATAGAAATACAAATAGATAGATGACATAGACAAAGTTATAGATGATGACATATAGATGATGCAGATATAGACACAGATGACCAAAAAAGTATATAA